CTTCTTAGCAGGATCGGCAGCAGCTTCGGGCTGATCGGGACCCCGTTTCAGCAATCCTTTCGATTGCAACATAGCCATGACATTAGCCACATCCGGTGAGTCTTCGGCCGCCTTCTTCTTACCCATAGCTCCGCACGAAGCTAAAACCCTAGGTTCTTGAAGCCCCTTAGGCCCCTAAGCGTGAAGAAACGTGAAATAACGCATCAAAGTTCACATGTCATCAGCTGTGGCAGCCTTAAGCAGCGTGAAGAAACAAGAATTCGCATGAAATCGCATCCGGTGCAAGCTGGGAAGTGCTATGCGTGAACTCACACATTTCACAGTTTTTTCACGGTCTTTCGTGAATTTTTCACGGTCGTTTCACGGAATTTCACAGCCAGCCGGGTGAGCACTCGGCACAGCCCTTTAATTATGCTCAGCAAGCTATATGCCCAGGTTCAGCCATCCAAGCCAACCATCCGGATCACATTGGCCTGGGGTCCCAGCTGGAGAGGCATTTGGGAATAAATTGGGGTTCTCGTGCGCTTGGACGCCAGGATACCCAGTTTCCAGGTAGCTCCAGGGATCTGGATTTGGAGAGGTACATAAGTACGTCGACGGCTCGAGCCTCGGATAGTGCGATCAGTAGTTAGACTATAGGGTTAGTTTAGTAGCTGTGATCACAACCAAATTAAGCAGGAAGCCGGCGAGACCCCGTTCATAATTCTAATTAAGCAACATCAGCCCACAGATCCCCCAATCCATTCATGCTGTGCTCCGACAAGCACTCCTGCACGAAGAGCTCGTAGTCGGATTTCCGCAAAGCATCAGCTCCCAATCTCGGCAGGTGGTTCTCAGGCTCGAAGAGCTCCTCGGATATTCGATCATATGTGCAATTCTAGACTATGATTAGCCGTCATGATCTTGTTGCAGTAATGGTACCAGCCGCATTTGCAGGAAGGCAGCAGCCACGAATTCACCAAACGTCTTCGTGTAGCTCCTTAGCTGAGAGGCTGTATACAGCGAGGGTCTGGGCCTGAGCAGGTCCTAGTGTGCGTGCGTAATCTATGATGGATGGTCGAGAATCTGAGAAGCTTTCAGCACATCTCGTTTGGCAATTCTTCGCTTCACACCATTCTTGTCAGTATAGTATCGACACAGTGGCTTCAGGGAGGCCATTTTTCCGGGTGTCATTTGATCGCCTCGGTCCATGATGAGTTGAACCAAGGCCTCACAGTTGCTCCAAAGTGTATGTCGTTTGGCACTTGGCCCATCGAACATACCCATCCAGAAGCCTCCACTCCAGACCTCCCAGGGTAAAAGNNTTAACTTGCCTGACTCAAGATATTTAAGAAACCCCATTAGCCTTCAGGGCACACAACATCTCTTGAAATCGAGGCATAGATGGCAGGAACGACCGACAGGGCTGCTCCACCACCCATCGAAGTTTTCGAAGTTGGCACACAAAGATCAGCAAAACAAGTCTGCTTGAAAGCACATTGCCTTCGCTGACAAACGGAAACTTATTATTTCCATAGGGGCTAAGCACTGATCGTCCAGACGTATGGCGGCACCTGAGATGCAAGATTCAGTAGCTTCACTCGATTACATGGCAACGACTCAAAGTCCTACTGTATTTGCAATCAATATGCATCGTGGTGAAGCTTCTGCAGTCCAGTCCAAACCACACCAAACCACCCGGCCGGCAGCGTAGGATTTCCAGGAGGGCCAGACTTAGATAAGCCGGAAGATGTGTTGTGTAAAACCCAGCCCCAAGAATAGGCGATATACTTTCGGATATCATGTAGTGTATATACATACATACATACATACATACATACATACATATATATATATATTAATATTATATTTTTATATTATATTATATTATATTATATTATATTATATTATATTAT